AGAACAATATGTTCAAATATTGCAAAATATAAGTAGCAAAAATAATTATTTATTGTTGTTAGAAATGATGATAAAGATGTATACATAATTACAAAAATAATTATTTATTGTTGTTAGAAATTATAATAAAAATGTATACATAATTACTATCATAACAAAAAAAACGGACGAAGAATTAAACAAAGTAACTTCACACTCGTTATACTTCCAATTTTCTTGTGTGATTGTGTATGTCGCATCAGCTAAAAGCTGTGACAAAACAATCTCAACTCAATTATCTCAACAATCACAACTAAAAGTTGAGATATAACAATCACTCAAAATGAGTGATAGTTTCTGTCACATCATAGAAACAATCCATGTATTGTTTCTACTAAAAAAACAAAAAAACGATGCATGTATTATTGTAAACAATACATGCATAATGACAATCTCAACAAAACAATCGCAACTTCCAAACGACTCCTAAAGCCCAAACCCATCTGACACGCAAACTTAAAGTAAGCATCTGAAAAGAGTAAACCTTTTTGCATCATCTCTATCCACCCACGACAAGAGATCAGAGAGACAGTAGAAGAATGACCAAAACCAAAGAACAACATCAGAAACAAGACATGAACTCCACTTCAACGCCAAGAAACAAGCAGAGAACTATGGCCGGCGGGTCGACGATGGATCGATGAAGACGTAGCACTAAATTAATTACTCAACTCATAATCCTTTGCCTTCTAAGCAGGTGCTAAGAACTTCTAGGTCGAGTAGATCACGATGAACTGCCGCATCGTACAATGTCCAAACAAAAGAAGGAATATTTGGTATGTGTTATCATCTTTTTAATAGTTTTCACTGTGCTTGCTACATAGAATCTAGTCAACTAGGGCAACTCCAAAAGGATGAAGTCGCAGCCACACATGGACCACATTGGCTTGGGAGTACTAGGCCTCCAAAAGGGTAAAAGATATGGACAACTGGACAGGACCCTTTGGCCACTAAACCCCAAAAGAAAAGAAGAGCATTGCAAGAAGCTAAGGGCCTAAGCTAATTAAGGGTGAGTTCTTACATATGAGTCCTGGCTATTTTCCAAAACAGGAGGAAGGCTACAGATGAGTAGACCAAGCCTGTATTTGGCAAACCTAGCTAGCTATATCCTTTCCCTTTACCCTTTCTCCACAACATTGTAGTTCAAACTCCCAACAAGAAGCTAATTCAGGACCACTCAACACAACAGCATAGCATAGCATAGAGAGTCCAACACTTGCATTTCCAAGAAAAGAATACACAAAGCCCCAGAAATATGCATACTTAAATAATTAACTACACAAAGGGAAGAGGCATGCATGTAAACCCTAATTGGATGAAAATGCAAGCAACCAAAGCAAGCACACTTCCAAATGAAAGAAAAGCATTGAGAAGAGGAAAAAGGAAAGGATCCCCTCCCTCCCATCCCACTTGTACTTTCACCACCAGCTCCCACCTCCTCTGCTGCTGCAAAAATAAGAAACCAGCCAGCAGCTTGGCTAGCTAGCTAGTTGAACCCTAATGATCAAGGGAAGTGTGATCGATAGTATAGAGAGCTATGTGCATGCATATAGGGTTATTTTTGTACTTGTCCCTGGAACTGGAAGGAATGAATTGCATCTCATCATCAGCACAGCAGCTCTGTATGTATGTATATATATCTGCAGCAATACCATGACCGACATTTGAAACTCTACTGGGAAGAATTAAGTGGGACATGATTCCAAGCTAGGATCTCAGCTAGCTAGCAAATTTGGAGCATGCGTATGAACTATATATTATGATGAACACCATCTGCGCGCAAATATATGAGATCGAGATACCTGCAGCCAGTAGTCTGATAATGTACTGCATGTCTTGAATCACAGACTGTCATGGTTATTGCACTATGTGACTGGAGATATATATTACCTGAATTTCCACATCATAGAAAGCAGAAACAACAACAAAAGAAGGAGAAGGAGAAGGAGCTCCCTTCAGTCCAAGCACAGAAGGAGAGGGATAGCAGAATTATCTCCCGCTTCATTCACACACTCACTAGCTAGCTAGCTAGCTTAACTGCATCATGCACTTCCCAGCAGCTGCTTCTCGCCATCGCCATTATTATTATTATTATCCTGCTGGTGAATGAGTGAATGAGTCGGCAGCTACTTCCACCCCCTTTTCCTCTCTCTCTCTCATTCATCCATCATATCATCAAATTACCCTTCCATGTATGGACTAAAGGAAAGCTCTTTCTCTCCCCGACAATATTATGATGATATGGTAATTAATTACCTCTTCTGTTCTGTTAATTACCACACAAATATATTATAGCTAAGCTAAGCTAAGCTCTAACTAGAGTAGGGAAAGTTGCAAAAACAAAAGTGAAATGAATTTACATGATGAAAGAGCAAAAAACAAATATCCTAAGTTGTCATTAATTTCTCTGCAGTTAGTTCATCAGTCTGGCAGTAAATTAAAAAAGCTCGGAAGAAACACACAAGGGAAATGAATTTACATAATGAATATGAGATCTCGATTTCAGGACGGCGGGGAAGAACATACATATTAAACAAACAGAAGAGATGGGCAATGAATCAACAGTAGATATAGGGCGAGAGAAAAAGAAACCAAACCACTGATCAATTAGCTAAATGATCATCATGCTCAGACATTTGATCCATGCGATCATGGGTTGCAAGAAGAAATCTCTCTCTCTCTCTCTCTCTCTCTCTCTCTCTCTCTCTCTCTCTCTCTCTCTCTCTCTCTCTTCTGGTTTTTCTCTCTGCAAGGTGTTTGGTGGCCTCATACAGTTGTTTGGTTTTATTGACTACATATCTCCTCCTTTCCTTTCATATTGGTTTTGATACTGTGAAACAACCCTTCTTTTCCGGAAGAAACAAGCATATCATATTTTCCACCAAAAATATTATAAGGGAAGTGGGTGCGTGCATGTGATCAATATAGCTAGGGGTGTTCAAATGGGTGGTAATAACCAAATCAATTAACCTTAAATTTCATTAACTATGGAATAAAATGTCTTAACCAAACCGTTCAAATTAACCAAACTAAAGTTTAATTGGTTTGGTTAATCGGATAATCGGATAAACCAAATAGCATAACATTACATGAAAACAAACATAAATTATCATTTTATATAAGCAATAATAATAAGACTAACCATCCATAATTATCATCATCATTCGAGTTAATACATCATTCCTCATCTCTGCACCTAATATAGGTAGCTTAGAACAAACCCCTTAACATAAATACATACCAATACCCCTCATCAGGAAGTTAAAGCTCTCCTACAAAACACTTAAACTATACATATATAGTTTAAGGTGGTTGTCATGGTATTGTACGTAATCCTAAACTCTAGGAGTTGTCCAAAATGTTTTGGCTTAGTAAATATAGGTAGACCCATTTAATTTTTGATCCATAATGTTTTGGTTTGTTGTGCACATGAAAATAAAATAAGGAATCACGAAAGTTTGGTTTGGTTGGTTGCATGTAAGTATAAATAATTTTGTATATTAGGTGTATCATTAATTGGTTAATTGGTTTCATTGGTTAGCAGTGTCGAAACCAAACCAAACCACCTAAACCAAATAAGCTAAATTGTTTAACCAAACCAAACCACACCAATTATCCAAATTAACCAAACCAAATTAACCGAATGCTACCGGTTAATATGGTTACCACGGTAACCAATCCGTTTGAACACCGCTAAATATAGCTCTTATAAGGTAAGTAATCTTATCTCTAAGCAAGGTGAGAGAGATTGTTGGACAAGTCTACCGCTATCTATCGTGCCGTGGAACCTAGAGATGATGATGTATTAGCAAGACCAAGTGGTAGCTAGGTCTAAGGGCTAATTATGTCAATGTGCATTGAAGCAATTAGCATCGCAAACACGTGGCACCTTCCGTGCGAGGCAATACGTGGAAGAATGTACGTTAACGTCGTTTCAATCCAAAGGTTCACGGTCCATAAGATTACGAAAGGCCGAGCATGGTCAATAGTGAGGCTAGCGAGGTGGTCATTACAGGCCGAGGAGAAAGCAGTTGCAGGGATGCTAGTGTAGTACATTGTTGTACGTCAAGATCCTGGTGATACTCTAGAAGCCAAAAGATAAAACGGTATCCCTAGCTTGAATACTGCTAATAGAGACCACCTTGCATTCCAAACTCAAATTGTAACGCATTTAGATGTTAAGAATTCACCGAGACAGAGCTCTGACACACGTATTAGGTACTTTAATGGAACTAGAGCCAAACATCACTGTGAAGAGAGAGGGCCAATTACATAATCTGACAAGTGTGTATATATACTTCCAACATTCTCTTCAGTTTTCATTGAATTACAGTTTACAAACCACTAGTTTAAATTTGTATGTTGCCTTTGATGCTATTCTTGAATTTAACCTAGCTACATATAACAATCACATTGATACTACACTCCGATTTTCTTCCAGTGGCAGGCATGATTCCTTCCAAGGCACCGACTCGCTTCTCGCCAAAACCATGGTAGGGTTGGTGAAACAGTGCATACGACTTCTGGTTCCCCCAAGCGGCCAAACATCTTTGACCCACATAGTATACAGTCTGCAATCTGCATCCCTCAAAAATTATTGCATGTTACCGACTCTTGGTCTCACTACCCAAAAATGTCCAAAACAACATTATCAACTCAACGCATTCCCCCTGCTGCAAATGGAGGAAAATGGCTTGAATACCTAGTTGAAAAAACCACAGATATATTTGGTAAGGATTAAGGAGAGCTTGTTGTTCTGGGGATCTCCTGTATATTTCGGATTAATAGAGTAGCTGCCACTGAAACATACAGACATGTACTTAAACATCGTTGCAGGCGACGTGACCGGAGTCCACGAAAATACATGCTACAAGTACAAGAAGAGGAGGTGTCTTTATGTCTGTTTTGATTTACCCCTTTCTCGCCTATTGGATCGAGGCAGCACAACGAACGGTGCAATTTTAGCCTCTCCAGCTATCCTTCATCTGCCTGATCTTCCCAAGAGCTTCAACAGGGGACTTGCACTCGACTTTTGACTGAAAAACAAACCAAAGAGAAAATACCCAAGAGTCACAACATTGACAAAGGTAAAAGATATACACTTTGCGAAATGGGGAGGGAATAGCATGACAAAGGTAGTTCAAGTAAACAAACTGCAATTAAATTAGTTTGCGACATTCGCCAATGATTTTGTGCTGCGGATCTATCCGAAAGACAAAAGGTTAATTCAAATAGGACCTGGATTTCAGGAAGATCAGCGCGAACAAATGGGTTCGTCTCCAGCTCTTGCTCAATGGTTGAAGGGATGGTAGGAAGTCCTGCCTGCCTTTGCTGCTGTGCCCAAGATAACTTTTGCTTTATCTTTGCATTATCGGGCTCAACCGTTTGTGCAAACTGTAAATTCTTCACTGTGTACTGCAAGCAAGGACAGAACAAAATAGTTTTTGTCATATTAGCCGACTCAAAAAACCAGTACCATTCAGAAATGCGACAAGTTACTTTATAGCATGGCAACTTGAGGACATTGTTCAAGATGTTCATACTTGCATGAGCTTTCTAAATGTGAAAATACGTGAAACCATTTTTGACCACCCTTTAACAGCATAAAAAGGGAAGAAATTCTGTAACGAGATCACCAACTGAACTAAGGGAGTGGATGATGGTGCGTTCATGCCAGCTGAGAGGACTGATGAGAAGTCCTGATTACTTTTGCTATGCTAAGGATGTCAATTGCATGTTTACAGTTAGTGGTGCTGCTAGTGGTGTTGCGAATCGGTTATAATCACTTAGGATACAGGCTGTCTACTGAAACGAGAGCTTCTTCCATTACAGTTGGTGAGTGCCCTGCTATAATAGAGGTGCAGGGAAACTAAAGCAAGTAGGCCACCAAAAAAATTCTCAAAGCATGTCAGAAAGCAGGACCTTGACCAGCTATCCCCCCAAAGGGGAAGAAGGGAACTTAGAGGAGCACAGTCTTTGAGTGGTACCAGCCAATTGTTTTACTTCTTTCCCAGCTAGCATTGCCATCATTCATCAACTTCACTTATCAATAAAACTTTATAAAATTTACATGTTTCATTGAGAGGCTTAGCCCTTTAGAGCAAGTAAAATGTTCTATGATTCTAAAACATGCTCCAGACTATAACCGCAAGGAACTACCAAAGAGTTGAACATCAAGTTTGGGTTGAGGGGTAGAGGAGTGAAAGAAAGAGAAATCTTTACCTCATGGCCACAGTACACTTGGGTAGGCTTTGGCAATGAAGCCAATGTTACACAGAGTGAATCGTGCATCTGCTCAGCTGTTCCCTCAAAAAACTTACCACAGCCAGCAATAAACTACACATGGAACAGGCCATAAAAAGTGAGCTGGTAAGAGTAGTAGTAGTAGTATCATATGAATTTTCTGATGAGAAAGGGAACACCAGTTAAACAGGACAGGTAACCTTTCACTCGCCATATGCCATTGAATTTATTTATTTTTTAGCGTAAACCATATTCATAGATGGTACTAGCAACATTCAACAAAGACGACATCAGATAGACACCCGTGTGTCCCTTTTTCTGTTGAAGATGTTGTAGTTCAAATAACAATGTCCTTCCCCAAACTCACCAAGGTGTCACCTGTGAAAACAGCTGCGTCCTCTCCCTCCTTGCCAGTGACATAGTAACTTATGTGGCCTTTAGTGTGGCTGAAAATAGAAGCAGGCAGAAAGAAGTAGAGTAGTTGAACTTAGTACACAAGAGGATAGCTGGGACAGTGAGAAATGATGAAATTGAACAGGAAGGGACACATTGATCCCACAATAAGCTAGAACACAGTATTCCAAATACAATATCAAGCAGGAATCTGATGAATTTCAGCAAAACCTGGGACCAGTTGATCGAAGCTTTTAACAGTAGCGCATAACATCTAATTCAGCAAGTAAACCATGGTTTGGAAAGGTAATTCCAAAAAGCCAGAAACTACGTTTCATTTGCATAGCTATCGTACTCAGAACAAGCAGTGAAACAATGATCCATGGGTAACTAAAGTGAATTGGGAAGAAGAGTCACTAAGCTAAGAAACTGGTACCAAGGGGTATGAAGAGTCAGTATATTAACATCGGCACCAAGGGATATCTTGTCACCATGATCAACTTTGTCAGTGCAAGCCTGCACCTTGTCAAGTGAACCTCCATAGACTTTGATCCCAGGGATCATCTCCCTCATCTTTGCATTCCCCCCTGCATGATCCCTACCACACACAAAAAAGCCAGAGTCACTCTCATTCCTCACACTAAGATTTACCCAATCAGATTTTCGGACAACTGATACAGAACCAGTGATGATGTGTGGTGAGAACAAGCTTGATCTGAACCCCATGCTCACCGGCAGCCTCCACGAGCTTCTCAGGCTCCACGGGATCCACAACTGCAGCTTCTCTCGTGGCTTCGTCGATGATCCTGACATCATTTTTTTTTTCAAATTTCAACAGTCAGGAGCACGAACAGCAGTAGGGGATTCGAAGAAGTACTACAAACCCTAACCCCACCTGTTGATCTAATTAAAAAGACCGCGGCAATGGAGTTCCCATCGCAACTCACATGTAGGCGTAGTTGTCTTCCAAGCAAGGATAGTGGAAGATCTTCATCCTCTTCCGCCGTCAATGGACACTCAGTGACTAATTGGTCTCGCGGCGACCTCTACCGCTTCTTTCAGCTCCGGTGGGTTCGCCTGAGGTTCTCCAGACGCAACTGTTTGTAGACACGTAGCTATATTAAAAAAAAAAAAAAAAAAAAAAAAAAAAAAAAAACTCGAGCAGTGGATGCGCAGCTGAAGAAAACGACAAACCGACAGATGGCCACGTAGGAAAATAAATAAAAAAATATTGAAGTCTGTCAGAATGACACATGACCATCCCAAGGCATCTAAACGGCCGGGAACGATCCTCTACAGATAGGACGGTCAACAAGACCATCATCACCGTTAATCACGCTCTGATCATGTGGCCACAATACATCCACCAGACTTGGGATCCTGTCTCCTTAGTGCTAAAGGACACAGAGGTACGAGCCTATAGAACAGATCCTGTTCAAGTAAGGTCGTGCCCAGAGACGACTTACTGTGAACCTATAAACACTTCCTTCTCACTCCTTGTTGTCGATGTGGTATATTTGGTTCTGCATTTCGTGGGTTTTGGGCCGGGCCATTTACGTTGGTTAAAAGTCGTTGGGCCCGGCCTAGAACTATACCGGGCCTTTAAAACGACTCCTCGTTTTGCCGTTTCTCTGCTGATTGCCAATTTATTAGTTTCACAGCTCCTAGTTCTTTCTTTCCTTCCCTTTTCTTCTCTACCGGGGTTTTCGTTTCCCCTAAAGAAGATGGATGGCAATATGAAGGCTTTTCAAGAAAGATTGATGGCTCTTGAAACTGAAGGAGAGCAGCTACTTCTAGCTCGGCATCTGGTAAGTATTCAATCAGGATTCGTTGGAACATCTTTCTTGTATATGTTTTCTTGCTGCAGAAATGTTTCACTTGTATGATTTTATCTACCTGCAAAACAATGTGGTGAACTGTAGGTGGTTGAAAATGACAGAATAAGGAATGGAACAAGGGAGGCACTTACTGCGATAAGGAAGAGGGCTCGAACGACGAAAACAAGTCTGCCATCGCCTTTCGAGTCCATAATGAAGGACATGGCGCCAGGGCCGACGACGGTGAAGGGGGTCTGTACGACGTGTGGCGACCATGACTCGGAAGAGAGGACGTGGATGACGTTTCCAGGAGCTGATGTTTTTGTAAGGGTTCCGTTTCATGCTGCTCACACCATTCTGGAGACGGGTCAGTGGTCTTTTTTGATGATTTCAGTGACTTGTTTTGGAGTTGCTGAGAAGAAGATTAGGTGCTGAATTGCTGATGAGTTCATCTTTGTCTGAATTTCGTTGTGATGCGCAGATCAGGAAGGACTTGACTATGAGGCCAAGAAGTTGCAGAGTTATGTAAAAGAGAAGTCGCTTTTGATTTCAGAGCAAGGTGCTCTGTCTGACAAGATTGGCCACAATGTCCTTAGATCTCTTGTAACCTTAACAGACAAATCCAAGTGAGCTGGTTTCTGTTTTTGTATGCCGTCAGAATCCAGTTTATTGTACTTAGGGTTGGTTTCATTGAATGGAATGTGCTCATCATGGACTTGAATAGGCTCTCAATGCTTAGTGTCTGTTGGCATCCACACAGTAATCTTTCTTCCCAATTCCCATTACATCCATCTTTGGCAACCAGATTACAACTACAAGCAAGAGAAGCACAATTCGTGTAACTTCTTACGAAATGGATGTACATGATTCTCCTAACAACAACATCCATGACAATTGACAAGTCCTTCCAAGGACCAGGGAAAAAAAAAGGTTCAGGCATACAACATATAGCCTCATAAATCTTACTACACTTTGAAATCAACAACCACTGTCAACCACTAACGCTGATTCTGACTAGGCCTAGAAATGGATATATATGTTCTATCTTCCACTGGCATTCTCATCTATAGCCTCCTTCTCTCGCCAGATTGCATCAACATCATCAGTCCGGAACCTCTGGGTGAATGTCGATTCCTCTATTGGAGTCGTCCCCCCATGCGCAAAGGCAAGTAGACCAGTATAAGCAATCATAGCACCGTTATCAATGCAATACCTATCATCAGTTGCATACAGCGTCCCTCCCCGTTCACTGCACATCGTTCTCATCATCTCTTGCAACCGCTCGTTACAACCCACACCACCAACAATAAGAACGTCTTTCTTGTCGCAATGAGCCATTGCACGTTCCGTGATCTCCACTAGCATGGCAAACACCGTCTCCTGCATCAATAACAACAGCATGTGAAGCCACAGAAGCACACACAACAAACTCACGATATGCCTAACTGTTTTACCTGCAAAGAGTAGCACAAATCCGCTGGAGTGCATTCGTTGTTTTTAAGCTTCTCCTCGGTGGTAGATTCAATGTAGCTTAATATCCCACTAAAAGAAACATCCATTCCTTTGACAGCATAGGGAAGGTCTATAAATTTCTCTCCTTTCTTGGCGAGCTGGGGAATGGAAAGATCAAACAATGTGTTCAAAAGTAACAATTCGCAGCATTCAGTCAATCAACGATAAAGTACAAAACAGAGAGCACCAAGAACAAGGAGTTACCTGCTCAATGTTATATCCAGGGGCAGGATCATTGGAGAGGTGCAAAACCCTAGCAAATCGATCCAAACAGTTCCCCACAGCAATATCAATCGTCTCCCCAAAAATCCGATACTTTCCTTCGCTGTATGCAATCACCTGTGTGTTCCCACCACTAACATAGAGCACAACTGGGTCGTGCGCCCCGGTCACAACTCGACCCATCTCGATGTGGGCAACACAGTGGTTAACCGCGACAATTGGTTTCTTCCAGAGCAGGGATAGAACCCGAACAACCACAGCCGGGACCTGCAGAGGGGCGCCCATTCCAGGACCCTTGGTATAGCAGAGACAGTCGATCTCGTCAGGCGTCACTTGGGCGGCCTCCAAGGCGGATTGGACAAGGGGAATCACATGCTGGAGGTGGTGGTGCGCGGTTTCTCGAGGGAGGAAGCCATGTCCAGGAGGAGTGATGTAGGTGTGGCGAGGGTTTGAGAGGATCGTGCCATCTAGAGCGACGACCCCGACTCCAATCTTGTTAGCGGAACCCTCAAACCCTAGAGCTAACAGCTTCTTCATTCGCTTGCTTCTTTTACTGGAAAAATGCCTGGATTACAAATTTCACAAACCACAAGTTCACCACTACCACAAGCATGCATCTTACAGTTCAATTGATTGCTAGAGAAACCAAATCAAGTAAAATATATACAAAGATACAAATTTTGCTTGATTACTTTATGGCACCAGTGACAGTTTTAGAATTGTTTAACATCATTTGTATCCAATAAGCAAGGAAAGGTTTCATCAAGCAAAACAATATTACTACCCAATTCTAACGTTGTTTAACATGAAAGCTTTCGCAGTCCCCCTTTCTCTATCCAGGAAGTGAAGTTATTAATCATATCCCTAAACCCACCTTCACATGAATTGAGCACAGGAGGAAGTGAAGTTAGTACCTGACGGAGAAGGAAGAGAGACCGGCGGCGGGAAGAGGAGGCAACTTCGACTCCTCCGCATCCGAGAGAGAAACCCTGGGATACAGAGCACACTGCTGCTCCTGAAGGAAACGATAGGGTTGTTGTACGGCGGAGGGGCGGCGGCGACGACGGGAGGAGGATCTCCTTCTCGCTTCTCTTTCGCTGGCGGCGGGAGCAGGGAAGTGTTGAAGCCAATTTTCTTCCTTTTGATTGGGGAACCAGCGGATTAGAATTAAATTTTAGTTTTCCTTTTTCTTTGGTGCAAATTTCATCTTTTTTCCGGGTTTCTGTGACGACTGACGCACGACGTCGTTCGCTGGGGTTTCGGTTTCTTCCCCCGCGGCAAATTAGACCGGGCGGAGGTCCGGAGTCTCAGAAGTCAGACCGGGGCGAAGAAGACAGGAACAAACAAATAGCCGCGGCGGTGAAGAAGAGAGGACTGCAGATCCGAGCCGGCTGTTTGCATTTTGATAGTTCTTAAGAGCAGCTGCCTTCTCCGTCCTCTGTCGTCCCTCGTCGGGCCTCCGGACGCGATCTCGCCGTCCTTGGTCGGATTTCCCGAAGCGTAAAAAGTCCCCACTTCCACAATTTCTCCGATTCCGATCTTGATTCCGTTGTTGCACTATCCCGTTTGATTTTTCCTTCCTTGCTGCTGTTGAGTTTGTGTGATTTGTGAATCTAAAACCCAATGTCAAAACCCTCGCATAGCAGAATCGTCCAAGGTCTTCTCCGGCTCCACTACTCTCGCTCCTCCGCCACCGCCTGCTCACCTCGGGTTCCACTTCCGGCAGGCTCGCTTTCCCGACCACACTCCAGTCCTTCGCAGTTCTCTACTTCCACTTCATATCCTCCTCCACTCAAGTTCTCTCCCTTCGCTTCGCAACCCGCGTCCTCAGCGCTGCCAAAGCTCCCGAATCCTTCGACTTCGTTCCTTGCCAGGACCTACTGCTATGGGTTGCGTCACTACTCATTCAAGGCTCCTTCCAGTGTGGGGAAAAGGGTCGGCGGTGGAGAGTTCGCGAAACGGGCTTTTGAGAAGCCGGCAGAGGCGGTTGGGTCTGTTCTGTCCAAGTACCGTCGAGCCTTAGGTCTGCACTTGGATGCTTTCTGGAAGAGGAATTCTCTCTTCCTGTTTGGGGTTGGAGCAGTCGTGTTGTGTGCTTTGCTATGGAGGATTATGTTTGGGGTTGCCAGCACTTTTGTTCATCTCTCTGAAGGCATGGCCAAGTATGGCTTCCTCGCCCTTTCCACTGCCATCGTTGCCTTTGCTGTGAGTTGGCCTCCATTCTCCCATTACCTAATTTGAGTTTTCCAGCTATTTGAGTTCTGCTACGAGATTGTTGCAGCAAGCTACTTGTGATAAGGTTGTTCATAGGTGATCTGTGTATATGTGGCCAAGTTGTTTAGTTTATGTGTGCTACTCTTTGTATTATGAGCCAGAGGCATTATCTATGTGTAGGTGGCAACTGCTCTTCTAGCTGTTCGTAGCAGTGAATGTGTGCTCATTTTACAGAGTATACTATGCAGAAGTCATCGTGTGGAGTCCTGGTTACATCTTGTCATGGTCACGGGCGATTGAACTTAAACTTGTAAGAACTGACAAATGATTTCAGACTGGGATATTAAAGAGAGTTCAAATCCAGAATTTTGTTAGTTTAGAGAACGGGCTGTAGGTTTGAGATACAACTTTTCCCGTCAATTTTTTTAACGAGTTGTGGAAGTTGTTATCTGCCCATTAGAAATGTTTTGTGCATGTTAGAGTGGCTGAAATTTCATGGTACCACCAATCTATGCAACACAGACGACGCACTTTGCTTCAACTGGAACCTGTTTTCCACAGCCTAGCATATTTCAGATAGCCAAATATATGTCTCACCAAATATTTCTTTCTTCAAACTATTAATCCCCTACTGCTTCTGTTTCAATGTCTGCTCTAGCAAGTTGGCAATTTTTTTTACATCTTATGAATCGTATGTTAGTAGTGCAAGGAATGGAACTTGAATTCATGGTCTTTGTGGAAATGGACAAGAACTGGAACTAATCATCATTCCGCAAAGGTAGTTTATGTTTGTATGAAAAATAATTTCTTCCAGGGATGTGTGGGAGTGACAGGGTCGCGGAAGCCTTTTTTATATATAATCGCAGGGTGGGGGAAGTTATGCATAGACATATTGAGTTTTTGAGCGCTTAGGCTTATTGGGGCTAAAACTTATTTCGTTTTGAAAATTTTCAAATGACAGATGAAGGTTGTAAACCCTAAATTTTTGGGAATTCTATCAAAATTAGACAATTAAACAGCTTTGAGTAATAATTTTGACTTGAAGAAGCTTGTTTTTCAAGCAATCAATAATATAGGTTTCTGCCTCATGTGGTGTTCTCATTTATATATGTGCGTTATGCAAAGGGGAAAATATGAACTGATCCTCCGAAATTATGTTTTCCTTATCAGATAATGATGGTCCTATTGTTTTGGTAACTAAGTACTAGATAATTGTGTTTTGTATTGTTTAGTTGTGCTGATAGAGTCCATTCCTTTATTCATCTGTAGAACAAAGAGTTTCCTTGTTCAACATCTGAGATTGAGTTTTGATGTATAAGGTTTATGTTCGTTTCTTCTAGATCTCCTCATTTATATACCAAAACAAATGAAATAGTGCAAAATGCAAAAGGCAATTGAAATGGTGCAAAATGCTCCTAAGTTGGAAGTTTATCATTTTCTCCCTCAAAATGAGTTGACTTGACTTGCCATTTTTTGTTGAGTGTTTAACTTTGCTTTCTGAATGCAGGGTCTATATGTTCGCTCAAGACTTACAATTAACCCTGATAAGGTTTATAGGATGGCCATGACACGGCTAAATACGGATGCTGGGATTCTGGAAATCATGGGTGCTCCTCTTGCTGGAACTGACTTAAGAGCTTATGTGATGTCAGGGGGAGGGATTGGAATGAAGAATTTCAAGCCAACTCGTAGTAATAAACGTTGTTTTCTCATCTTCCCAGTACAAGGTTCGGAGAGAAAAGGTTTAGTCAGTGTTGAAGTTAAGAAGAAAAGGGGCCAGGTGTGCTTCTTTACTTTTTTCTTGTGTTGCCCCTAATATGGAGTGGAATCATTTAACTTTTAGGATCTTCTAGGTTTTGCATGTTCTGACTGAACTACTCACTTCTAAAGTTGTGTGAATGGCATTGAAGTTCTTTATGACATATGTCTGTCTTTAAAATAGTGAAGTAAACCAAGGAAATCAATTTTCTGTAAGAGTAATATGTCATGTCTAATTGTGTGAACAGCTGGATAAAAGACCTCCTAACCCCGCACCACCTACCCCCATAAGACAGTATTTTTCCCATTTGATGAAGACATGAGCTTGATATGGATGGATTTGAATTGACTGGAATGTAAGAGAAGATATATTTGATAATATATCTATGTAGATGTGAGATTTTCAAAAGTCCATATATCAAATCCATCCAGGTGAGATGTTCGAAAGCTCCAAAGAATTCAAATCCATCCATTTCTTATGCTGCTTCGCTTCGCCCGGCAATCAATTTTGTACAATCCTTCGCTAGAAAAAGTGTGTTGCTCATGTTAACATTGCCCTGCATCTGTATGACAATGGTAGGTAAAGAAGATAGAATATGGAGTCCTTTTTTTATACTTGACACCCCTGAAAGTATGGTTGGAAAAACATGGAATATTGATCTTCTGCTAGTATGTCCCGAGTTTAATGGTCTCAGACCATCCTCTGTTTCATAGTTCATGCATGCCCCTGAAAGTCATGGAATAACCCCTCTGCTTATTATTTAGATGTTCTGTCTTTTCTGTGGCAGTATGATATGAGGTTACTGGCAGTTGACATTCCAATGACGTCGGGACCAGACCAGCGACTGTTTTTGATTGGAGACGAAGAAGAATACAAAATTGGTGGTGGGATCATCGGCGAGCTACGAGATCCTGTGATTAGAGCTATGTCTGCTACTAAGGAATTCGATGATCTTGACCAAATCGAAGAACAGGAGGATGCCGAGAGAGAGCTTCAGGAGGCCGAGAGGAAGCGACAGGAAGAAATTGAGAAGCTCGAGAAAGATGGCTCGTCATAGTACTGCTGGGTTCTTTTTGCTGATCTATTGTTCATGCACCGCCAGTTTTTCACTACTACCCACTTAGCCCGATGGTTCTAACAGCAACCCAGTGGAAGGCTTCTTCGATGTTGAGATGTCCCAACTGTGAATAAATGCGTTGATACAATCCAACAGAAGCAGTTTTTAGCTATGTTACAGAAAGAAGAAAAGGGGAACCCTTCTTGAATTCTCCTTCTTTCCATTCTTCCACGGCAACAAGATTTCCCGTTTTTAATTACTGCCTGCTACATTTGACTTGGTATGTAGGCTTGCATGATCTGGTGAAGCTACAGTGGGTTTGACAAACTGGGTTGTTTGTCAATCTTCATGGGAATTTAACAAAGTCAGCTTCCCTTCAAGTTGATTGACCGCGAACTAAATTCGTAAATGGGCTGGCATTCTTTACTTAAAGGTACGCCAGTCACCCACCCCTAACTAGGGACGACAAGCGGTTCGGTTATGGTTAAACCGAACTGTCGAGACTGAAACGCTGTCGGTTAGCCGCCACAGCCACCATTTCGATGTCGTGCAGTTAGTCGGTTAGCTGGTGACCGAGAGTAACCCTTGAAAATGGCGTTACTGTTGCAACAGCAAGTTTCGGCAAGGACTCTTGAAGAATGACGAGGGCACTTAAGGACTGGGAGGTCGATGATGGCAGTGCGACGAGACGATGATAGCTAGCGATGACGAGGTCAAGAAGATGAAATTGCTGATAACTGCAGGTTTTCGATGTATAGTTGTGAATACTTGTATAATATTATATATGTATTGATGAATTTGATGTATTGTAAAATACAACTTTTGGTATGTGTGATTGTGTATGTTGCATTAGCTAAAAACTAAGATAAAATAATCTTAATTCAACTATCTCAAAGATCAACAATCCACATGTTGTGTCTGCTAAAAAATAAAAATAAAAACTATACATTCTAAACAATACAAATATAGTAATGAACTAATGATCTCGCACAAATAATCACAACTTAGAAACTTTGTTTGCTAATCAATTACCACTTTACAGTCTACACTAGTCTACATTTCATGTCCAGCTCAAACCTCAAACTCTATTTGCTAAAAGCCGAGATATAACAATCATTCATTTTGAGTGATAGTTTCTGTTATATCACAGAAACAATTCATGTATCGTGTATGCTAAAAACAATGCTTTCTAAACAATACAAATATAGTAACATCTTCTCTTGGATGTTTAGTTAACGTTTTGGAGGGAGGGGTCATGGTGATTACTTACTAAGGGTAAATTGAGTATGGAAAAATAAATTGTATTAATTAATTTTTTTAACAAATTATATTTTGGGAAGTTACAAAATTTTATGAATTACAATTGTAACCCCCTAACCCGGCCGGGTACTAATTTTACCAAAATACCCTTAATAAATCGTGAAACAAAATAAGAACTCAAAACACTTAGAAAAATAGCGGAAACATTTCATAAATAACTTTAATAAATACTGAAAATAACTGTCATTACTTAAACACAAAGCTTGACACTTGGGCAAACTCAAACCTTAAAATCTCAAAATGATCTCCAGTCTATACTCATAATCATAAACTGAAACAACTAAAAGTCTCTAATGCTACTGCTTCCTGAAGCCTTGACCAGACATCCTCAGTGGCGCTTGTACTTCCCTCCTCTAGCTGGCTGCCCTCAAACTGCTCCTCTCGAACTCGCTGCTCTCTAACTCCTCTTAGTCCTCTTCAAACTAGTGAGTGAGTTGGGGTCAGTCTACGCCCTTACGTTTAACATCTTATTAATACTTGATCAATTTACTTAACTTAATGTAAGTTGTTTTGTACTTCCACTATTAAAAATCTTGACTCTTAAAACTGTACTCTTAAAGCTCAAATCTCCACTTGAATAATTGACTGACACTGGGATCCCTCACTAGCTAGTCCGATTGCCAACTCATACGTATGAGAAGCCATCCAGGCTTTCCTTAAACTTAAACTTATCATGGAATGCTCTTCTTCCACGATTCTCAAGAGCATAACTGTTGCTCATCTTAAAAATCTCAATAGCATAACTGCTGCTCAACTTAAATATCTCAAGAGAATAACTGATGCTCCGTCTCAAAGATCTCAAGAGCATAACTGCTGCTCTATCTGAAAATCTCAAATGGCAACGGATTGGTGCTAGCGACTAAAAACACTTAAGACGACCTCACCTTCTTGAAGGCGAGTTACTTCTTAAAAAGAACTTGTTTCTTAAACTTTAACAATAACTTATAAACGTAAAGCTTTAAAGTAAATAATAACTCATGCACATTCACTTCAAACATAGCTCAAACAAAATCACATATCATCAACCATAAGCATGAACAACCATAGCAACCACTTCACCAAAAATTACTTAACACTCGTAAGATAAATGCTTAAAAATATGTAAGGCGTAGAATTTACCCCCTTTACACTCACCTTAGTATAACCACGACCTATATTAATGTTATGAATTATTGGGGAGAGGAGTTTTGTTGAAAAAAAATGGGAGAAGCTCTGCTTTCTCTCATCCGGATATGCAAACTCGTTGGTCGCCTCGTTGGCGTCGTCCTCACCGGTTTATTCTGCACCAGCCTAGTGAATCAAGGATGGATCCCAAAGAACGCAAGCGCGATGGGGAGCGGCGAAGTCCAGGATCAGAGGGAGAAGACAGAGGAGCAAGACCGGAACGAAACTGGGGGTGGCTTGTTACCCCAGGGGAATCGGCAATTTCGAACAAAGTGCATAGGCATCTCCGACGCATCGTGGATGCGTAAACGGAAACGAAAGAGGGCAATTGGTGAGCCGGATCTCGTGCTCCCAGCTACGCCCAAGCGGGCTTGTCCGCGTACAAAATCGAAAGGTGGGTGGAGGTTCTCCCTGCCGCCACCGTTTGATATCGAAGAGGGAGAAGACTGGAATTCTAATCAAGTTCCGTTGGAACGAAAGGGAAACTCGGAAATGAGTCAAGAATACTGTATGAAAGCTGATCCTCAGTCAGTGGAGGGTGATGGGGCGAATACTGTCTCACCTGAATCCTCGACTGAGAATCCCCCGACGGCGGTTTGTAGCCCTGCGGGGGGCGGTGACTGGAGTGCTGGTACGGCGGCGGAGGGGCGAGTCTCCTCTTTGCTACCGACGATGGCCGTTTGGAGGAACGGTTACGACTTTACGCGGCCGAAGTATTCGCCGCGAAGTCTTCGGAATGGTAACAGCCGTGTGAGGGATATCCGATGCGGATCGGGGTTTTTCCCAAAGATTTCGGGGGCCAGTCTGGTGGGAGGGCAATCCGAGAGTCCAAAACCCATTACACCTCCTTTTTCGGTTGAGTTTACGTGGAATCATTGCATGGGGAGGGGTCTCCGGTTTTCCTATATAAAGCCTCTAACCCTATGTATTCCACACAAAATAAACCTACCAAACAGAGACTGGGACGTTGTGCCCGAGAGCAATTTCTCATCTAGTGCAGCCTGCCAACCGAAACCCTTGCAGCAGCTCAACATGTCGCGCATGAATGACGATCAGGTTGTTCATTTTTCGCTTGAGGAGGTTCATTCGACCAAATATCGAAGTGCGCGTTCAGTGCTGGGTAGACTGTTGTCGGCGAATCGGTTCACGTTGCGGGAGATGCGCGAGGCTCTTGATACGCCTTGGCAGGGAAAGGGTCGGCTGCAAGTGATGGAGGCAAGCATGGGGTTGTTCGAAGTCGTGCTCCCCAATGAAGCTTCCAAAAGCTGGGTGCTCAAGCGTTCGCCGTGGGTCATCAATGACCGTCTCTTCCATGTGCGTGCTTGGGTGCCAATGATAACCAAATAGGTTTTCGATGAACTGGCGGTGGCCCCGTTTTATGTCCAACTTTGGGATATCAAAGAAGTGTGTTGCAAGCAACAATTTGGTCGAAAAGTGGCTAATGACATGATTGGGAAGGTGTTGGAGGCGGGAGTCTATGCCTGTCAAGAATCGGCTCAGGGCTTTGTCAAAGTCCGGGCCATGGTGGATTTTTCCAAACCGCTCCGGTCACAGGTCATGGCAGCCAACGAGGAGATTGGTAGATTCTGGGTTTCGCTCAAATACGAGCATCTCCCCAGCTTCTGCTTTCGATGTGGAAGGATCGGCCACTTTCAGGGGGAGTGTGCCTTCGATCCTCCTACCCGGAAGGAAAAATTCGGCATCCACATGTCTACTCGGCGACGGGGAGTGAAAGTGTATGCTGCGGACGATGAGAACCCCCCTACGGTGTGGGTCAATAAGAACGTTCGACGAATGTCGGAGGAAGGCGAAGATATTCCCCGGCGCCAAGCTCTTCGTGGGCTGCATCGCCAGGAGGGAGGAACCGCAGGGAGGCTGGGGCGTGAAGTGGAAGTGGGGAGTAGCACGGGGCAGGAGCATACGCGACTGGAGCTTCAGGAGGGATTTGAGAAGATTCCTCAATCGGGAATTGCGGTCCCCCCAAAACGTCGTGGTAGTCCGAAGGGGTTTGTAGTATCCAAACCAGTGCGCACGGCCCGGCTGCGGAGTGCTAGCGCTGCTGAGGAGGACGTCGTTGAGCAGGCTTGCGAGGCCAAACCTGTGCGTAGGACAAGGCTGCGGCAGGCTCCTGTTGTTGAGGAAGCTGACGTTGAACAGGCTGGCGAGGCCAAGCTGCGCAGCCGTGCTGGTGGGCGCGGGGTGCGGACGGCGGAGAAGCAGGCCAAAATTCGGTCGGAGGATCAGGAGTGGGTGGCTGCTCGGGGGAAGGAGGGGTACCGGTTGGCGGGGAGAAAGAAGGTACGACGCGGGAAGAGGAAGGAGAATCTCTCCTCACCGGCTGTGAGGCAGCAGGCAGTTCGACGTAGGCAGCTGCTATTGGCGGAGTCAGAGGACGAAGCCCCGTTGGTCTCGGACGCTCGGAAGCTTCAAGGGGAGGGAGAACCCAATAGGGCCGAGGATACAGCTGCTTGCAAACTGGCTGCTCCTACTGGCCAGGAGCGCGCTTGTACGGTTGT